AACATGTTACATGTTACAAAACACAATAAAGTTACCAGAAGATCTTCAATATTGGCAAAAAATAAATAAATAAATTAAAAACCAACTCATTCAGATAAATTATATTTGAGACTTGTTGCATATTTTGCCTCCTCACCTCTGACAACTGAATCTAGAAGTTTCCGAGGACTGCTCAGCTCTCATGCCGAGGCCACAGAGTAATAAAAAGTGCAGTAGAGCAAATGTGATAAGAAGCAGCACCTGGAGTTTCTCAGCGTTTAACGATTCCACTGTCTGGAGGCTAATCAGGTCCTTTCACTTCCTACGTCATACCTGGGGAGAGTTTAAACATATTTCAAAAATGTGATCATTTTGCGGGCTGCGCAGTGACGCAGTGGTTAGAGCTGATGCCTTGCAGCAAGAAGGTCCTGGGTTTGCTTCCCGGCCTGGGATATTTCTGCATGGAGTTTGCATGTTCTCCCTGTGCATGTGTGGGTTCTCTCCAGGTACTCCAGCTTCTTCCCACAGTCCAAAAACATGACTGTTAGGTTGATTGGTCTGCCTAAATTGTCCTTAGGTGTGAGTGTGTGTGATTGTTTGTCCTGTGTGTCTCTGTGTTGCCCAGAATAGATTTTAAGATCCTTCTTCTCACATATAAAGCTCTTAATAATCAAGCTCCATCATACATCAGTGATCTGATTGTTCCACACGTTCCTAACCGAGCACTTCGCTCTCAGACTGCAGGTTTACTGGTGGTTCCCAGAATATCTAAAATTAGGATGGGAGGCAGATCTTTTAGTTATCAGGCTCCTCTCCTGTGGAACCAGCTCCCAGCTTTAGTCCGTGAGGCAGACACTTTGTCTACTTTTAAGAATAGGCTTAAAACATTTTTATTTGATAGGGCCTATGGTTAAAATCTGATGTTAGCCTAAATCTGGACAAGTGGGGGAGTAGAGGGAGGTGGAGTGTACAGTCGGTAAAGACGGCTCTCCCTTGCCCTGCCTCCAACATGCCTCCATCTAAATAGGATGGATTATCCAGTTATCTCTGTAGTTATGCTGCTATAGGCTTAGACTGCTGGAGGATACACTGACCACTTTTCACACTCTACTACTTTCTTCTACAATCTGCTCTTTAACTGTATTATTTCCTGCTATTTCAGCTGTTAACTTTATTTTCTCTCTAAGTGTTTTTCTCCCCAGAGGAAGCTACAACGACATTCTGCTGAGCTGTGGTGGCCTCATGGAGGGGGCTATCGTCTAGCACACTGCTGCTAACCACTTAAACATTCTCCCTCTCCTGATAATAACTTTTTGCTTTCCTTGACGTTGGATGTGCTACTACTAGTTTATCTGTTTAATCATAGATCCACTAGGATAAATACAATAAAGTTTATCTCTCACCAAATAGAATATTTACTAAGAAATCACAATATAACTATAGACACATTACTTTGTCTTTGTGTGTGTGTGTGTGTGTGTGTGTGTGTGTGTGTGTGTGTGTGTATGTGTGTGTATGTGTGTATGTGTGTGTATGTGTGTATGTGTGTGTGTGTGTGTGTGTGTGTGTGTGTGTGTGTGTGTGTGTGCGTGTGCGTGCTCTGTCTTCTCGATCCCCAGTGAGTCGTGGAGGATGGCTGCTTATACTGAGCCAGGATTCTCTGGAGGTTTCTTCCTGTTAAAAGGGTGTTTTCCTCTCCACTGTCGCTATATGCTTGCTTAGTATGAGGATTGCTGTATAGTCACTGACACTAGTCAGTGACTTGACGCAATTTGCTGGGTTCCTTATATAGGAAACATTATTTCTGATTAGCTTAATGAACTGACCTGAATTGGAATGTTTATTATGTGAAGTGCCTTGAGAAAACTCTTGTCTTGATTTGGCGCTATATAAATAAAATTGAATTGAATTGAATTGAATTGAATTGCCAATTGACCGCTGGAGATAGGCACCAGCACCCCCCCCCCCCCCCCCCCCCGCAACTCTACGTGGACTAAGCGGGTTCAGAAGATGGATGGATGGATGATCATTTTGCCACGACTGAAAACACTGATGTCAGTTTATTGTATAAAAAGCTAAAAACTGAGCAGTTATTAACAATATTTAATAACTGCAGTTGTTACAACTGGTTATTATGTTTAACTGTCAGTTATCTTTACACAAAGAAATACTGTTAACTGTACGAGGCTTCATGTTGATGCAGCAAAAAGGTTGCACGTTTAAATCCCAGCTGCAGACATTCTGCATGGAGTTTGAATGTTCTCCCAGTGACGTAAAATAGGAAAGAAATGCATCACGGAATGTGGAATTCTTGTTAACATACAAACGTTTTATGAAATTATTATAGATCTGTTTTAAATACATGAAAATGTATTTGTTTAATTTATTTGACACCAAACTCTTACAATATTTAACAGACTGGAGGATGTTCCCACAGAACTGCAGCATTATATTGATTCATATAATGAACGATACTCTGCTCATTAGTGGAGTGGGAAGTGACGCCACCATCAGTTCAGCTCTGAGGAAGTTTGCAGCCGCAAACGAAACTGTCAGCAAGCAAGGTAAAAAGAAACCTTATCTGTGTTTTAAAAAAGAACCAACAATGGAATTAGAAATCAGACACAGCAAGAATTCGTACCAAAGATGTATTGATTCATTTTCTGCAAATTAAGTTCTTATGACCAGAAGCTATAACATTTCAGACAATTGTATAAATTTTACACCATTTTCTAAGCTTGAATATATTTTCTCCTAAATTTTAAAACAACATCATGATTTTGTGCAAAATGTAATTATTTTTATCCACAGATTTATAATTCTTTGTGCACTTGGAAACTTGTTTGCAAAAGAAATCAATAATGTGGGATGGCACTACATGGCACCACTACATCCTCATAAAGAATACTCTTCAGTGATTGGCTGGAAGAGGATTTTGCCCTCATGAACTCTCTTGATACACAAAAACGTCTTACCTCTTCCCAAAGATATCTAACCAGCTTTACAGACCCACAGCAACAGGGAGGGTTGATAGGAGGAGTATAGTGGCCTCTAGTGGTTAATTAATCCCATTTGGAAATTTACAAGAAATTAGTTCATGCAGTGTGCGATGGAGGTGTCTGCCACTTCTATGTCTCCGTTATATCTTTAAATATGATATAGTACAGAAAAGTTGAAACTTAGATGCGTTATAAAAATGGTTGAAATAGTCTCAAATCTTTTTTACTGATTTAAAAACTTTTAAAACTCAACAATTTCCATAACTGAGACTTCATGATTTTAAACCAAAGATTTAAGTAAATAGGTTCATTTAAAAAATGTAAACATGTTTTTTTTAATTGGACTAAATGGGAAATTTATGGGAAATGTATTTATTTATTTACATTTTTGTATAAAATATTTCAGATGTCTGTCTGAGGAACATTTAATGTGGATTTACAATAGTTGGACGTAGGTTTTTATAAACTGCATCTTCCTCTGATTTGTACATTAAAATGTTTATTTGACTTTTTTTTTTTACAGTTTCTTATGCACTGTTACTGGTTGTCCTCCTGCCCCCACATCGGAGTGTGTCTTGTAAGGATAAAAAACCACCTCACCATGTAGCTGCAAACATATTCATCTGAGAGTTATTCTAACACTGAGAGTGTGATCAACTGTATTTTTATTAAATGGATTTTATATGATAGGAGCTAAAACAGCATAAAAGATGGACTTTAATTGTAGATTTAGTTGTGTTTGGAGCATGTAAAAAATGTGGTCTTGTATTCCAGGTCTTGTTAGAGGTGCAGCTTGGTATTTACTGATATGTGGGTTATGAAGGTAAACTTTTCGCTCGGGCTCAGAGTGGTAGATTTTTAACACGTTATTAATGAATCCTGATTAACATGTTAAATCACCACTCCTAGTTTAAACATTTGAGTCTTTATTTTAGTCTTATTGCTATTTAAGTTTTACATTTGAACATGACTTTCAACCTCCACCCGTTAAACTATTTTTTCTCTATATGACTGCAACATAGAGGAACCAGCATTTTAATTCCCTAATATTGCATTTTTGTTGATGTCAGCATTGGGTTTCAAACTGGGTTCAACCAACAGAAGTAATGTCTACTACAATATTACCACCTCTAATACCCCTTCTACCTGTATTGTACTCACAATAAGGTCTGGATAAACACTCCAAATGCTTACAGAAACAGGTGTCAGGCTTCGGGAGGTTGTACACACACATATACACTCACGGTTAATTATTTATCCACTCATTGAAATGCTGACATACACACCATCATGACTGCTGTGACACTTTGGCAAATGCTTTGTTCTGTCACAGGTGCTGATGGATGAGTCGACTGCGCCTGGAGATAAAAGCTCTGAGTGAGGGCTCATGTGGTGAAATATAAAAAAATACATGAATATTATGTTTTATCATTGCGCACAATTGTGTCCCAAACTAGAAGAATTTATGACGAAGGAAGTAAAGAAAACGTATTTGGTTGATGTTGATTCCTAATAAATAATCTCCCTCAAGCAGAAAAACAGGAACAGCAATAAAATGAAAGTATCCGTGAATTTATGAAAATGACGAAAAAATATGAAAAGTGTTTTTAACAGATCCACTTTGTTTTGTATTTGATAACCTTTTAAGTGTTTATTTTCCTAAGATTTTCCTTCAAACGTAACGTTATTTTAGATGTAAGCTAATGATACTCATGATAATTTTCCACCGGACGTCGTGAAGTCTGTTTCTTGAGCGATGGAAGCAGCGAGGCTGGACGAAACCATTCTGTTTGTGGGTGTATGTTCGCGTCCACTTCAGCAGCTAAGATCCAAAGCGTTTTAATGATGTACATTTTAAAATGTATTAACCCTTTGTTAAAATTTGCTTGTATTCTCACATGTTGCAAGCTGTAAGCATAGGTTTCTGACGGGTTTAATTGTCGATGGAGTGACTCAAACAGCCCTTCAGAGATGATTTGGTCGCGTCGGATGAAAACCGAGCTCGTGCCACATCTTCCTCTAATGATAAAGCCACTTCTGGCAGCGCGAGCGAGTCAAACCCGAGCTGCAGGAGCAACGTACTCGCTAATTAGGTCAAACGCGGTTTTGTTCTTGTTTTTACCCCGAAATAGTCAAACTCACTAGAGCATCACTTATTTTTTCATTGTTTTTTTTTCTCCATTTTTATCAACAGGAGGTTGACTGATAGTTAACGGTGAAGTTAGACACAACGTGGGAAAGAAAAGCTGAAGAAACTGGACTTTTTAACCGGAAAACCTGCATTTACGTCTGTTTCCTTGGTAAGTGCGTACATGACATTATTTTTCCATTGTAAAACGTGTCTTTTAGAGCTGGGTCAACTCGTACTGGGCTGCTGAGGTTACTGGGACTACACCCATAGACTCACCACATCTCACCTACACTGGACTGGAAAGTATGTTCAAACAGTCTGAAAATATTTCACAGCACATCTCAACTTCAAATCACATTTTAAGACATTTTTCAAACTGCATGAGATAGAAGTCCCTTTCAGTAGCCTAACACATACAAACCATACAACGAACATAGTGTATATATGGCTTTAAATGTGCAAATAACATTGGAAAAAAAGATGCTCCACATAGTTGTCATAAGCTTTAGATAGTGTATTTTTCCTCCACCAAGGGTGTACACATCTCATTGTGGTAAATATAACATTGGTTACGTATTGTAACCCCAGATTCTATGAGTCTAGTCGCAGCTCTAAGCTAGCTGCTATTGGAAGGATGATCTCAGCATCAGCCAGTCATGAAGAGCTTAAATGTACGCCCACCAATGGTGGGCACCCCTGTGGGTATATAAGTGGAGCGACTCCACTGTTCGCCTCCGATGGCTCTTGGTCCTAACAGAACCAGTGGGGCCATTGGCTTAAGGGCTGCGACTAGACTCATAGAATCTGGGGTTACAATACGTAACAAAAGTTCAATTTCGTCTAGTCTTAGCCCTTAAGCTAGCTGCTATTGGAATAATGCACAACTGGATGGGTTTACGCCACACTGGTTAGCTCAACCAATGGACACACCCACTTGTCTCCTTTTAGCGAGGGTCGCTCAGCCTTAGCCCAGGGCTTAAAAGGCTGAGGCAGCCAGAAAGAAGAGTGGGGCCCCCACCAAAAATATCATCCACAAGAGGATGAAATTCATTCAGGTAGGGCTGATGTGGTGCCATAATGCTTTCACTCAGCCTGCTGAGGTCCAAACACCGAACGAGTGACAGAACCTGAAGACACATCTCGTAAATAATAATGAGTAAAGGAACAGGGTGAAGCCCATGAAGCAGCCTGACAAATGTCTTCCATCGGCACACCACTGTGGAGCACCATAGAAGAGGAAATCCCTCTGGCTGAGTGAGCCCTGAGTGTCTCAGGAGAATCCCGCCCTGATGATGTGTAAGCGAGTGAAATGGCGTCACATAGCCAGTGTGAAAGACGCTGGGTCGACAGCGCTTGCCCAAGGGAAGAATCTCTGTAGTGCACAAACAGGCTTTGTGAGCGGCGAATCCCAGAAGTGCGTGACACATATCGCGCGAGCGCGCGCACCGGGCAGAGAAGGTGGGACGCCGCCTCCTCATCAGAATTATGGGGAGGAGGAAAAAGTCTAGCCAATGAAATTGACCTGAATTTGAAGGAAGTATCAATGTTTTTGGGCACAAAGGCTGGGTTGGGGCATAAAACAGCAGACCCGCCATCTTCCCGGATCCTGAGGCATGCGGGAGCCACTGAGAGGGCGGTTAGGTCGCTCACTCTCTTGACTGATGCCAGCGCCTGCAGCAAGGCAGTTTTGAGTGACAGGAACTTGAGTGAGACTTGGTCCAAGGGTTCAAATGGGGCTTCAGATAAGCCACGCAGAACCACCGTTAGGTCCCACTGGGGAAATGGTGGGCGGGACACAGGTCTGTTCCTTCTGACGCCTTTTAGAAAACGTTTTGTGATGGGTTGATTGAAAACAGAACTATCTCCAAAACCCTGGTGACAGGATGAGATAGCTGCAGCATATGTTCTAATAGTGCTGAATGAGAGGCCCCTGTCCATCAGTATCTGCAGAAACGATAGGACATCCGCCAGCTGGCAGGAGAGCGCTTGAACATTCCACTCTGTGCACCATTTCTGGAAAGCTGCCCATTTAGCAGCATAAGATGTGACGGTAGAAGGCGCCCGCACACTCTGAATCGTCGCGATCGCATCATGCGGCAGCCCAGAAGCCTCTAAGCGTGACCGCTCAGCGGCCAGACCCACAGCCGTTGGCCTATTTCCGGAGGATGTTTGATTATCCCATCCGCCTGGAGAAGGGTGCCCGCCCTCCACGGAAGCCTCCACGGGGAGCCGGACACTAGCGCTTGCAGGTCTGGAAACCATGACGCAGACAAGCATCTGGGAGCTACCAGAATTACCGAGAGCTGTTCCGACCGAACTCGGTCCAGGATACGGGGAATCAGTGGGACTGGCGGAAACGCATACAGGAGCGTCTGAGGCCAGGGCTGGTATGAGAAGGCATCCGCTCCGAGTGGGGGGTGGTCCCGGGGACTCAGGGAAAACCACAGGCGACACTGAGCATTTTTGCGAGCCACGAACAGATCCACAGAGGGTTCCCCGAACTTGATCCAGATCTGTGATATCAGTGCGGGATGCAGACGCCAGTTGGAGTCGCGGGGTCCCCCTCTCGACAGGATGTCTGCTGCCATGTTCAGGAACCCCGGAATGTAGGTGGCTTTGATGGACAGCAGGTGGACATGTGCCCAACACAGTAAATCTGTGGCTACGCGCAATAGTGGGAGGGATCGAACTCCCCCTTGGCGATTTATGTAGGCTGCCGCCACCTGGTTGTCTGTGTGAACTTCGACATGACGGCCCTCGAGAAGGGCAGCAAAATGTCTGATCACATTCCTCACTGTCATAAGCTCCAACACACGTGCGTGTGGGAGGGCCAGCGATCTGCCACCGTATGGAACAAGCACGCCCCCCCCCCCCCCCCCCCCCCCAACAGAGACGCATCCGTAAACACAGATAAGTGTGACATAGGATGTCCGATGGCAACCCCGTGTGAGAGGATGCAGGGATTGCCCCAGTGAGCGAGGTCACCGCCCACTGAAGGGGGAACCCTCAACATACGTCTCTTCTGACGTATCGGGTGTACCTGGAGGCAGATGAACCAACGCTGTAGGCGTCTCGTGTGCAGTAAACCTAACAGCACCACAGCATGGGCTGCAGCCATCATGCCCAGAAGTTTATTGACTAACAGGGCTCTCACGATCTTGCGGGGTTGCACGCGGGAGATCACCGTGGTGAGATCTGCCGCTCTCGCCGGAGACAAACGTGCTCTCAGTAGGGAGGCGTTCAGCTCCACCCCAAGAAACACAATCAACTGGCTCTTTTCCCAGTTTATGGAAAACCCCAGGGTTGACAGATGCTCTATTAACTTTCTGGTTTGCTCTGACGCCTCATCCTTGGACCGGGCACATAGGAGCAGATCGTCCAGGTAAAATAAAACCCTCATTCCCGCCATGCGCAATGGCTGCAGAGCGGTCTCCAGACATTAGAAGAAGGTGCGCGGGGCTAGTGAGTAGCCGAAAGGGAGACGATTGAACTGGTATTAAACTCCCTTGAATGAAAAGCGCAGGAACTTCTGATGTTTGGGAATTACTGGGATGTGGAAGCATGCGTCTTTCAGGTCTATTGACGTGAACCAGTCCCCGGAGCGCACGTATTCTAGGACTTGCCTCATTGTTAACATGCGGAAATGCATCACTGCTATGGAGCAGTTGAACAGGGAAAGGTTGAGAATTGGTCACATTCCTCCCGACTTCTTGGGTTCCACGAAGTAGCGGTAGTAAATGCCTGAGAGCTCTTGTCCGCGAGGTACTTGAGAAATGGCGTCCTTGGACAAAAGTTCCCGCAGCTCCAGCTCCAGGGCCTGAGATTGTTCCTGTGACGTGAACGTCGTCTCCACGATCCCGTTGAAGGGAGGAGGAGCGGACTGAAAATGGAGTGTGTGACCGCAATGAATGGTGTCTGATATCCATTTGCTCATGAGACAAAGGCGGCGCCATTCTTGCGCGCGTTCTGACAGCGGACACGTGTTTGAGGTCACGTGAACGACGTCTGAGGACTGGGTTCGCGCCCTTACCGCCGTCGCTCGCACTAGAGAGCTGGGAGCGACCCATGGAGGGCTGCGCTCGAAAGAGCGAGTGTGAAACAGCTGGAAGAGGCTGATCCACACCGCGGAGCGTGGAGTCCACAGATAAAGGACAAGTGGGAGCCGGGCCCGTGCATGGGGATGACAAAGTGTTAGCGGATGGAGCCGCGCACTGTGTCGCTGCTCGTGGTCGCGACAGCGCCATGACATCCCATCCCACCCTACGTTGTGGGGGGAGCGGGATGTGTTGGGCCTGGCTGGAAGCTAGGGCCGGTGCGCAAATGGAGCGCACCCGTACAGCTGGCCGTGTAATATGACTGACTGCGGGAACATGTAGATGTGTTGCAGTGCTTGGTGTGGGGAACATATGTGAGGATTCGGCAGAGGACTGAAGGATTGTGCTCTCTATGTGACGTTTTTTGGGTTTTATTTCAAAACCAAAATCATTCACAGAGTTAACATTACAGTCAGAAGCACACACATTCCCCCCAACGAGTCATTTTCGTGGTTGCTTTCGGCGAGGTTCCTGCGACGGTCACTGCCAAGACAGTGTCTGCTGGCTCTTTCGAAACGGTTGGCCGCCAACTCTCTGGTCCCGCTGAGGTGGAGCCGAAGCGGGAGGCCGGCTCCGTGGGGCGGGCGGTGCAGCTAGGCGCCTGAAGTTTCCGCGCCGTTCGTCTCATCCTCTGGAGGAATGGCCGGAGTGCGAGTCTGACCGAGGGTGGACCAGGTCTTGCACCATGGCTGACAGTTCAACTGACTTCTGAGCCCTCTCGATGACGCTCCTAAGATGGGGACCGAACAGAACGTCAGAGGTGATGGGGCCTTCCAGCATCTCTCTGTGCAGGTGTTCAGGAATGGAGGGCAGGGCCTTGAGCCACAAAGCCCGCTGGATAAGGGTCTGCCAGGCAGCAAAGGGAGCAGAACTGGTGAGTTTAGCAGCACACAGATTGAGAATGGCCTCTGCAGTTTTAGTAATGATGGTTTTTGACTTGTCAGGAGCGTCAAGCTCTTCCACCATTTTGGAAACGCCAAAGGCAGGAAGGGCGATGTTATTTCCTTCAGCGCCGGTCTGGAAGGCGCACTGGTGTGCGCGATCGGTGAGCCGCGTCAGCAGCTGGTCATGCTTA